TGTAGAACCTATGTAATATAACATAAAAACCCGTTGTCAGTTGGTTCAGAGGTGTCTGATACTGAACTTGGTAGGGTGGACTATGGTCCAATCCCCCACAACTTGCAATTGGGAGAATTAAAGGAGGTTACACATTCATGTTCCAAACCCTCATGCTAAAAAGGATCATAGTCACTAACCGACTACTCTACTATGTGCGTGTAAAGATAAAGGGCTTAATGTGATTGCGCTAGAATGAAAACGGGTAAAATTTAGCGAAAAGAATTGGGTTGAGCTATAGTAGCATGACTGGAATTGGTCTGCACAATAGGGATGTTTAGTGTTATTACCGTATCTTTTGTGTCATGTTGAGCTTACGTCTCTGCAAAAAAAAAAAAACTTAGGCAGCCTCTTATGATTCGAACTGTGTCGTGAAATTGAATTTAACTTGTGCCTTATTAGTTTTTATACTTATTTTATTGCTTGAGGACAAGCAAATGTTCGAGATTAGGGGAGTTTGATGACACGAAAAAATATAACATTTTCCGTCCTAATTACATAGATTAAATTCCCGATTTTTCAATTATTATGTCACATTTTATCCCTTTTTGTAGTTTTTGAATTATATTTCAAGTACTTAACATTTGCAAGGAATAAATAAGAAAAGGGAGAAAAAGAATGGAAAATGAAGAAGAAATGATTTTAAATACATCAAAAATGCAGTTCTGTACAAGAGATGTGTGCCGCCCGCCACAAGGCCATTACGACCGACACGAGTTGAATTAGTGTGCCCCTCGGCATGCTCACATTACGACCGACACACTTGTGGTTTCGTTTCACAATTCAAGCAGTTACGAAGTCTTCACCAGTATAAGCATATTTAGCGCACGTCACCTGGATTTTCTCCGCATAAACAACGTGAATCATGGAAGTTGCCTATTTTTCCTCAACAAAAATGGACTCTATATTTAAGCAAGCAGTTACCAATTTGGAGGCACTCTCTCGTTCCTGGTTCTTTTGTTTTGATTCTCTCTAGCCTGCACTTTGAATAATTACTATTTATGAAGTTTTATTGTTTCTGTAAACATCATTTTCTGCTTGTATTTTGCTTTTTGATACCTTCTAGTTTTAGAATTCAGTATTAATTTTCCGGTAATTTTATTTAGTAGGTAGTAAAAACCTCACAGTCAGAGCAATATTTTTCCACACCGGAGAAATACTGCAACATTAGTTTGTTTCCAGACCTCTAGAAATTGTTTAGGATTACTCTGATTTTATTCGAGCTATTCTACTTAAATTCAATCCTACCGGCTTGTGGAGGACACACACATTATTGGAATTTATTGCTTTGTATTCGCTTTCAGGTTCTTATTTTAATAAGCATATTTATTTATTCTCTGTTATGCATGCGTTGTCGAATTTATATTTTAATTTTATGATGTTCTGCAATAATATTATGTCTGGCTAGATTCCCTCTACCGATATGTAGAACTTGATCGAAAAGGGTTCGGTAATTAATTGGCGTTATTATTTTTATAAAAAGAATACTTTTCTGGTTTTAATTTCCAATTGAATGTTTAATAGTTTTTGTACGAAAGTAAGAAACAGTCTAAAGTTAAAATTCAATAGAGCAGAAGTTTGAGGTTTTAACCAGATAGTGGTTATTGAAACATTGATTTTTAAAAACAGCGGAAGCGCTTTAAAGTTAATTGAATCTTATTTGTTTTCAAAAAATACTTGAGTTTTAAATGAAACAGCGGAAGCGCTCATTTCGAGCTTAACTGATATGATCTAATTCAATAGAACGGAAGTTTGAGACAAAGGGTTTTAAACAAATAGTTTCACCGAAATTGTGTTTTAATACTAAAAACAAATGCCAATGATGTACTGAACCCCTTAAGTTAACGAAATACATACCGGTGTTCTTCATTAATTATTAAATTCTAGTTAATTCCCAATTAAACCCAAACACCCAAATTTATTATTAGCCTTAGCTCTACATAGTAACCTTTAGATAACAGTAGTTTTTAACTATCAGTTCTTGTGGGTTCGATATCTTTTAAAACTACGCGATAGACTGTGCACTTGCAGTCACTACAACCGATAGACTCATGAAGTTGCGATCATCAGACCACACACTCCTAGTGACCAAGAAAATTCAGCATGTGGAAAACTCTTTTCGCAAATATTTAAAGCTTACGAATAAATAAGCTGAGTTTACAAGCTGCATGAGGCTCCAATTTAATAGGCTTAAAATAATACCCGACATTCTGTGATCGGACACTTAAAGTTCTGGGAACTTTGTGCCTGAGGGGCTTGAGTACATACGCATAATTATTTTACACATTATTTTTAAGTCGTGATGTTAAAAACAAAAGACCAAGCACACTTAAAGCTTCTAGCATAATTCAACATAAGCATTTGAGGATAAAAATAACAATGAACTGAATTCATAAGTCACACGAGGCTTTACTTGGCTAACCAAGAAAAACAAAGTGTTCAAAAACTCTCAGATGAACATCTAAGAACCAACTGAGTTCTATACCAACGATTGAACCCACCGGGGCTTCTATGTGAACAAGCAAATATATTGCCGGGCTAGTCGTATCTGGACACTTTACTCTTACAAACTTTGTGCCCGGGGGGCTTAGTATATACCCCAGAATATTTTTATGCAAATTGGGATAGAGGAAGTCGATTAGATCCTTTCTCAAAATCCAAGCATACACGGATAAACTCAACATCTGGGATATAATCATTTTTGTCTCCAGGGTATGTTAACCCGACCTCAAAAGGCTTGGGACTTATAAAACCAATTGTTACGATCAAAATTAACAAAAAGGGTAAACAACAAGAAGCTCGAGTACCCGGAGTAACTTTGAGCCCCGTCTAAACAAAAATTAATACTAGAAGCCTATAGCCTGTACAAAAGTCGGATAAACAGACATCAAATTACTTGGGGATACCTATCAAAGATAATAGACAAATAAGTGATCATCCAAAAAAAAAGGGCTTTATCCCACATCTGAAAATTTTAAATGGTATAGATACCGGTACGTACATTGGGCCATAAATTTAAAGACAAGTAAGTAAAGCTAAGTTTATAAACTAGAAGAGGCAAGTACGTCTTGAACAAAGCTAAAGGCCTAAAATGAGAGTTGTCGTTTAAAATTCTTATTCCTAGTTCAGTGAACAAAGTAAAGCATATTTTTGATTAATCAGACCTTTGATTTGTGCTAAAGTCGGGAATGCACACCTACAAGGTACTAAACCCATTTAAACACATGCATGTGGGCTATAAGTGAATATCTAGGAGAAAAAACATTGCACTAGATAAGAAAGAAATTACCCAAAGCATTGCAAAATGGAGTCGAGACCATAGATTCACAGAAAATTTACATGAATTGAGTTGGTTATGATGTGTGTTTGGTGACCCGGGTTCAATATATGGGCTCAGGATAAAAATATCGGGTTTTTCCTGTCCGAACTCTTCATTCCTTTGAACTTCGTGCCCAGGGGGCTTATGTACATCCTATAATATTTTTATCAAAATCGGGATGTGAATTCAGAGAGGGAATGGAATATGGGCCGGTGTACTAGACCATTCTTAGAAAGGGTTGGGATATAGTCTTGAACCGATGAAGCACGCAGATAGTCGGGTAAGGGCGCGGCCTGATTTATAAGAACTCAGACTTGAGGAGATGAAGAGTTGTAACTGACGATTGATGACTAACATTTATAGGATACATTACAAGTGATTAATGGGCGGGTAAAAACGTTACAAAACTGCTTAATGGTAAATGATTACACTATAAATACGGGCTCCCGACAGAGAGATAATCAAGACATTCATCTTGGGTCAATACACATCATTGTCGTAGCATCTAAACCCCCCAAAATCATACAGAAATCTACCATTGTAAGACTCTCCTTGTTCCTACAGAGAAGCCACTCATTTAGTGTTTTTACGCAAGATCAACTTTATTAATAAGGGTAAAATAGTCTAATGACACATATTATGGAACTTTTAATCGGTGTAAAATAATCAAATGCCACTTATTTTGGGAAGAAGAGAATATAAGTATTGCATTGAAAACAAAACAAATGTTATCAATGAAAAATCGAATTATCTATTATTTGGTCATTTGTAATCACAGTGTGGCCCAAGTTTCGGGAGAGTTGACAACAATTGTGTTGGCATATCATGGAGTATCCTTGTGGGGATCTGAAAAATTCTATGCTATGTAATTCTATCATGTCCATCATACTGGAGTTACTATATCACACTATGTAGGGGGAGTTTTAATCATACTTTGGAAACTATTTGTAATTGATCCTTTTAAAGAGATTATATTCATGGAGTATTATTTATTCTTTTTAAGTGAACTGTACATGTCCGCTCTGTCGATATGTGTCTAAATGCGTTTGGCCACTTCACCCCTTATGCTTGAGGGGTTGTATATATGTCTGGTCTATTGTGTCGGATCATCGAAAGTCGAGTTGTAGCCCAAATCTGATAGAGCCAAACCCAAATAACAATTTGTCCAACAGGTCAGGGGCAGATTGAGGCAACTTGAACATGTCAGTTTAAAACTAATTTGGAGGAAATATTTGAATTAAAGACAAGAAGGATAACACATTTTTGGCCATCGAGAGTCGAGTTGTAGCCCAAATTCAATAGAGCTCACCTCGAATATTCGATAGAGCTCATTTCGAATAGCAATTTCCCCAATTGGCCAGGAGCGGGATGAGGTAGCTGATGGACCAGATTGATCATCTAGGTTCAAAACTAATTTGGAGGAAATATTTGGATCAAAGACATGAAGTATAACACATTTTTGCCTAATTGAGAGTCTTATAGTCTATGATCCGGCTATTAAGTCTTATTTTGAGAAGAAGAAAATATAAGTATTGCATTGAAAACAAAACTAATGTTATAAATGAAAATTGAAATGATGTAATCACATGTATTATCGCAAAATTCTAGGTTGCGATAATTCAAGTGATGATGGTAATTGACTTCACTTCCACTTGGCATAGAATTTCTGATCCCCCCACATGAGCATTCTATTCAAAGGAATCCTAACACCTCTTTCCTTCAAATGCAAATGCCTTGGCACAATCCTCTTCTCTAAACTAAACCCAAAAAACTGAGGAAACTTCTTCAACTCCTCCAAATCCCTCTCCATCTCTTTCACCAAATACACAAACTTGGGCCACAAATTATTCTCCACATCGTATCCCAATATCGCCGGCAGCCTCACAACTGCATTAACCGCTTCGTCGTAAGAAAACCCCACCACCTCCTCCATGAATCTCACCCTCAGCCGCAGCTTCTCCACGCGCGTGTTCAACAGATGCGCGTTCCGGTTCGTTGGTTTGTTTAACCCGCGGATTCCGATTTCGTGTAGGAAGTTGAGAGTTGGTTTGAGGATGTGGTTGGGGTCGGTGAAGAGGAGGTTGGGACAGCGGAGGATGAGGCCGCGGGATTCTTCATTGGTGGCGAGGAGGTCGTTAGAGAGGAAATTGAAGACGGGGGAGAGGTCCGTGGGGTTGAAGGTGGTGGAGAAGAGTTTGGGAGAGTGGTGGTGGAGACGGGGGATGTCGGCGTCGGAGAAGGAATGTGATTTGAGGAAAGTGACGGTGGTGAGGATGTGGTGGACGGCGTCGGGGGGAGGGAGGTTGTTAGGATGGATTATGGTTAGGGATTTTAGATAACGGAGATTTTCACGGTGAGTTGTTGGGAACTTGATGTAACCGTTTCTGTTAGGGTTATGGTTAAAGGTGAGAGGGTTTGATGAGTGAGATTGAGAGTAAGAAGAAGGAGTTTGGAATTGGTGAAGAGAAGAATGGAGAAAGGGCATTTTATTGGCCACGAATTCAAATAAGATGGTGAACAACAGTTAACACATACTAGTAGTAGTAAGTAAAAGAAATATGATGTTTGCTACATCAATTTTTGAGTGAGAGTTCTTATACATCAAATCCAATCCACACAATCATTATCATCATAACCTCATCCTTACACCTTCAACTCTTCTTTCTCAAATTTCAATATACTAATAATAACTATATAGTGGATGATGAAATTAAGGGTGTGATGAAATTCATGGTGTACATAATTCATTATAATAAAATTAAATTTAATAGAATTGATTTTATTAAAATTGAGTTTAATATAATTGATTTATGTTTGAATATATTTTTATAAAAAGTGGATGATGAAATTAAGGGTGTGATTAAATTCATGGTGTACATAATTCATTATAATAAAATTAAATTTAATAGAATTGATTTTATTAAAATTGAGTTTAATATAATTGATTTATGTTTGAATATATTTTTATAAAAATGAGTTCAACAATAAATTTTAATTTAAAAGTTATTTAAAATCAATTATGAAGACTGAAACTATAAATTCTAACTTCAAATAAAATCAATTCTAACGACAAAATTAATTTTATTTTTTTCTAATTAAATATTTCAAAATCAATTTTACATCTCTATTTACTTTTCACCTTTCTAAAAACCAACCAAACATACACAATTTAAGTGAAATCTCAGTCCTTTCGTTCTAGAAACATGCAATTAATTCAATTTTAAAAAAAAAACTTAGTAAAGCCACTCTACACTTTCATCTCATTAAAATTAATCATTATGAAAAAAGAAAGAAAGAGAAAAACATGAAAATAAATAGTTATTAAAATGACTTAATTATAATTATTTATTTATTTTTAATTTTATATTTATATATTAAAATAATTAATTTTAACTGGATAATAATATAGATTGTTTTACAATGTATTCTAATTAATTTATTTAAAAAATAATTGGTTGATCAGAATTTTCACTACACTTCCTCAAGTGAAAATTTATTCCGAGACAATCTTGTTCTTGTCCCAATAACTAGAGTATTTTGTATTAGGTGGGTGAACTTAAATTATAACTATTTGATGTATATGAGTTCGATCCTTAATTATATTTATTTTCTATCCTATATTATTCCGTTTTATTTATTTTTTATTTATTTATAATTGAAGGATTAACAAAACAACTAGAGTATATGAAAATAAAAACGCCATTGAGGCTGTACTCACACATGAACTCATTTTTTCATGATTAAGTTATAAGAAAAAAAAGTCTATCCACATATTTACACTACTTATGCAACTATGTAGGTTGCAGGATTTATGCAAGATTCATGATTGCAAGATTTGTGCAGGATTCAATATTAATCATGATTTATTGTCTGTTTTTAATGAAGAAATGGTACGCAGAGGCGTCACCATTTCATCTTTTGATTGGTGAGATATCCATGACACTTGAAGATGTATCATGACTCTTACATCTTTTGATCATAAAAAAATTAATAAATTACTCCAGAATCAATAAGCATGAGGCACTAGACATGACAGTGACATATTTGGAAGCTGAATCGAGAATGCTCAGCAAGAGATAGATGACACCAGAGGATGTCATGCTAGATTTTCATTTTTGATGGTTCCGTATGAAATCCACCTGGATATAGTTGTGGATGGTGATAGTGATGATACACGAGTTGCATATCATAGAGCATATGCATTGAGGTCATATCTCATGATTTTGGTCAGCGCATTCATATTTATGGACAAAAGTGTAATTTATTATCTACTTTAGATACTTAATTGACTTGGAGAGGATTCATGAGTACAACTGAGAGCTTCTTGTTTGATGTACCTTACTCCAAGTTAGTTAAAGATAGTTTATAGTAGATGAGACAGTTGACCGAAAACAACTATCTACTTGTACTACACCATTACTGTGACACCCCAAATTAATTCAAGTGTTAAATAATTAGGAATTTAATTATTAAATTAATTAAAGGCTTAATTAATAATATTTTGGATTAAATAGATGAATTAATTATGAAATTAAAAAGGAAGACCGGGGGTGTAAGGTTGAATTAGAGGTGTGTGAAGTAAAAAGCTCTACTAAATAATAACTAATTTATTTCTATTATTTAGAAAATAATAAAAGGAAAAGAAAAAGAAGGTTATTGGGAGAAAGTCATTGTACGTGAAATTGGAGAAGAGAAGATAAGAGAGGGAAAAGCCAAATGCCGTGAATTAGAAGGATCATCGCGGGGTAAGGGGTGATTTCGATTATTTAATATGCCTTATAGATTTTGGGATCAATAGAATTGATTAAGCATGTTAGGAATCCCAATTTAGGATTTATGAAATTCAAACCCCAATCCCATGAATTTTATGTTTTGATTCAATTTGATGTTATGAGGGAATTGTATGATGTTATGGTGTGTTATAATCTCATTGGAATCATGCACTATAACTTGTTTTGACATTGCTGTGAGTTGGATTCGTATGTGTATGAATTAGATGGGATTGGAATGAGTAAATGCTGTCAAAATAGCAGTTTTTGACTTTTCAGGTCGCAGGAACCGGTTCCCAGTGGGGAGGAACCGGGTTCCACTGTGTAAAATTACAAAAACTGGCATTTTTCAACGTAGGAACCGGTTCCTGTATAGGTAGGAACCGGGTTCCAGTATATTTTCCAGAAACGTAACTTTTTGAAAAATATTAAACTTTGAAAATTCATAACTTTCAAACCGTAAGTCCGATTTGAGTGCCGTTTTCGGCAGTATTTCTTAAATTTAAAATTCTATCTTATGAAATAAGAAAAATATTATTTTATGAAAATTATTTTAAAAAGAGTCGAATTCCCGATTTTTGTAAACTTTGGTATTTTGAGAATGATGTAGAATTGTTTGTAAATTGTTCTGATTTGGTGAATGAGAACTGATACTTATGTGTTGCGCCTGCTATCCATTATGATTGAGATGTGATCATGTGATATATTGGTTTTGGAATTATTTGGAATTATGTTGTGATCATATTCCGTTGATTTGATGTTGACTTTCCGATTATGCGGTTTGTTATTATGTGCATATTTGGTGTATATGCAATGGTGTATCCATGATAATTGATTGTATCAGGTCCTTGTGGATGAAGTGCATGTTTATGCTGTTTGATGTGTGTATGATAAATAATGATATCATGTTTCTTTTGGTTTTGGTTCAGTTATGATAAATTGATATATTTCATAGACTGATTTGATGTTGCATGCTGGTGATGTGCATGCATATGCATTGTTTTGGTGAAGTTAATTCCCATTGTGTGGAATTTGACTTGTATTGCCGTTAACCGATACCCGAGAGATGATGGGTGGTTAGGCTGGATTCGTGTCTGAGTGTTATGGACGAATCGATGATTGCTTCGGCTGGATTCATGTCCGAGTGTTATGGACGAATCGATGATTGCTTCGGCTGGATTCATGTCCGAGTGTTATGGATGAATCGATGGTTGCTGTATCCGGTTGATGATGGATCAGTGTTGGGTGACTTGGTCACGTGTTGGTACCACATGCATTGTGTCTGCATTTGTGTTTGCATGGAATTGTAACATGTTAGGATGTCTTCCAGTGTTACAATTCTTTGGTTGATTATTGATTTGTGCATAATGACTTGTATGATTGGAACTGTGTGTTGAATCAAAATTTATGCTAAAATGGGTGAAATAATATGCTTGTGATATAATGTTGATTGAGAAACTTATAATGCATGTTAATTATGAGAAATCTCACCCTTACTTTAATGATTTCAGATCAAAGTTAGCAGCTCAGGAGTTGGTGAGGATGGCTCTAGAGCTATGTTATTTAAGTCCGCGTGTCAGTGTCGTGCTCTGATAGGTTGTAACACTGGGGGAAACGTTTGAATGACGAGTTTTATTTTATACTCTATTGTTTAATTTATGTTGGGAATACTTATGAAGTGAAGTTATTCCGGTTTTGAGATAATTCCGCTGTGTAGAACATGATATTGATTTGAATATTTATCTTAATAATTCCTTCAGTAAAGCATGACAACTGTAGATTTGAGGCTTTTTATATTTATCCTAAATTGTGACATCCCTGTTTTCCATGTTACTCTGATTTAATTAATATATTCGCGGGTTATTTAGAAGGGGTGTTACAATAGTGGTATCAGAGCAGGTTGGTCTATCGGCCAGGTTGTTTATGTGTTTACTCCCTTCTGGTATGCGACATGTGTGTGAAACACTGTCGGTACTTGATTGTTTCCTTTTCGTTGTCTGCAGAGGTACGTGTGAAATAAGTGGGGGAGAAGTTTCTTCTCTGAAGTTTTGTGCAAGAGGTTGGTTCAGTATACCGCCGATTGTAAGATGTAAGTATTGCTGAGCAGTTGATGCTTCAAGCATGGTTATGTTTAAGTAGCTTGATGGGTAAGATTGAAGATGCTGTTGTGGTTTGGTAACGATGGTTGATGCCACCTCATGATTGTTGACTATCTATTGACAAATTGAGGAACTGATCACCCTTAATCTCTTGTTGATAGTAGTCGGGATCGCGTTGGATGGGATGTACTTATTGTGCCAGCTTTACAGTGTGTGAAATTAGTTGAGTCGACAAGAAGAGAAGCGTTATGGTTTGCGTAACGAGAGATTTAGATCTCGGCGAGAGCAAGAAAAAGGCATGTGACCTATTGGATGTAATTTTTTATGAAGTGTTCCGTGATGAAGTAAGTGGAACGGTGTGAGAGTGCAAGGTGAAGTCTTAATGGGTTTTGTTACTAGAACTAGTTCGAATTCGAGGATGCCTATAAGAGGTCTGCTTCTAGATTGAGAAAGTTGAAGAGTCAACTTGAGGATTTGTTTGAGAAGAAGTTTATTCGTCCGAGTGTTTCGCCGTGGGGTGCTCCGGTGTTGTTGGTTAAGAAGAAAGAAGGTTGAATGAGATTATCTGTTGATTACAGACAGATGAATAAAGTTACAATCAAGAATCGGTATCCTTT